AGTTGTCAGTGACCTTTAAGGACTCCAAAGCCCAGGTACATCACAGTTTCTTGAGCTATCTGGGCCTTCTCCTTTGACACTCAACAACCACTCATTCCGAGAAAGTTCAAAAGACTTATAGTTAATTTCAAACATTCTTCAGGAGTTTCTCCTGCCAACAGGATATCATCTACATATTGTAACATAACACCCTCTCTTTTGTTTTCAGTTCGACAAATTTTGAGTTCTTTAGCAAGCTGATTTCCAAAAATAGTGGGGCTATTTTTAAACCCCTGTGGCAGTACAGTCCAGGTATATTGAGTTTGCCTTCCTGTCTCTGGATTTTCCCACTCAAAAACAAACATCTCCTGACTTTCAAAGGCAAGCGGCATGCAGAAAAAAGGCATCTTTTAAATCCAATACGGCAAACCAACCCTGCTTTTCTGTCAGGGTTGTCAGTAAGGTATATGGATTTGCAACCACACGATATATATCCTGCACTATTTCATTGATAGACCTTAAATCCTGAACTAATCTGTACATTTTTCCATCTACCTTTTTCACTGGCAGAATTGGGGTGTTATACTTAGACTCACACTCCTTTAACAATCCATATTTTAAAAACTTTTGTATCAATGGTAATAATCCCAATTTAGTTTCAATTTTCGTAGGGTACTGTTTCAACCTTACCAGTGCCGATTCTGGCTTTCAGTCTATTCTTACAGGATCAGCTCTTTTCGACCTTCCAGGTACTTCTCCAGCCCAAAGGGAATTACTGCCTCTTCCACTTCTGTAGGTATTTCTCCACTCACTGGTTTATCTTCCTGTAACAAAAATACTGATGCTTGGATATATTTAGATTCTGGTATCAATACTTCTACTTCCCCCTCCTTAAATTTTATCTCTGCTTCAAGTTTTTCTAACAAATCTCAGCCTATCAATGGTTTAGGTGCACCTGGTAAATAAAAAATTGGTGTGTAACCCATTGTTTCCCAATTTTGAACTTCAAAGGTTTAAAAAATGGCCTCTGCTCTGAGATTCCTGTCGCACCAATAATTCTTACTGAGTCGGTCCCTAATTCATGTTGCATTGTATTTAAAAATGAATATGTTGTCCCTGCATCTATCAAACACTCCACCTCCTCATTCCCCAGCTTAATTATAACCAGAGGCGCTGCTGGGGAAGAGTCCTCCGGTCCCCTTCAATCCTCATCCTCTATTGCTAGCACAGGTGCCCCCGCTCCTTTTGATTCCAGCAAGGAAAGGCATTCATTTTTCTAATGACCCTCCCTCTTACAATATGCACACTGATTCTGTCCCGCAGTCAGGTTTGGTACTGCTCATCCTCTGCCTCTTCCTCTAAAACCACCTCTTGATCTTCCCCTTACTCCCCTCCGAGACACTTGCATACTCTTGAGCGCAGCCATTAATCTCACATTCCCTCTTTCCTTCTGTTGATCCCTATTCCTATACACTATCCAAGCAATGTCCAACATCTTTCTGATATCTCTAGCCTCTGCTCCTTACAATTTTTGTAACTTCTTCCGAATATCATCAGACGATTGCCCAACAAAGTTGCCTACTGACTTTTTCCTTCTTCTGATTCAATATCTAGAGTACTATATTTCCGAGCCGCCTCCTTTAGTTTATTAAAAAAAAAAATCAGTCGGCGACTCTTTCCTATCCTGCTTAATCTCATACAATTTAGACCAGTTTATAGCTTTCGGCATTGCATTTTATATTCCAAACAACACCCACTTCTGATATCATGCTAACATCCATCTATCCCTAGGATCATTAGGATCCCACCCAGGATCGGTGGAAGGGAAATTATTCTCTACTTGTCCTTGCAACATCCCTGAAGCTAACTGTGCCTGAATTTGAGTTCTCGTAGCCCTACGAACCACGTCTTTTTCCATGCCATCAAACAACTCCTGTAAAATAGCTTCAACATCCTGCCAATCTGGATTTTGCGTTTTAGCCATCATTTCAAAGGCATTTGCTACCTTTTCTGGATCATCCCGATAATTTCCTGCAGCAGCTTTCCAATTATTCAAACCTGAAATTGAAAATGGAACTTTCACCACAACCGGTCCATCATTCCCAACAGCCTGCCTACTCCGAGTCCGTTCAGCTACCAGAGTGTGACCAAAAGCTTCACCAGTACTTTCATCACTCTCATCCTCAGATTCCTTCTTATAAAGCTCAAATTCCCACCTCAGGGCTCTCAGTCAAGGTGCTACCAGCATTTCTAAATCCTCCTCAACTTCCTCCTGAGTTAGAGGAAGACAGAAATTAAATTTAAAAAGTAACAGGGTACAAGGTGGCATGGAAAAAAATGAAAAACGGGGAGAAGCAGCTGGTTAGAGAAAGACATATTAAAAATTTAAAAGGCAATGGGGTACTGGGCAGAGTTGGCAGAAGAATAACAAGTTTTGAGGAGCCATACACATAGGTGGGCAGGCAGAGACGGAGGAAGGGAGGCAGGCAGACATCTGAAGAAGGGTGGGCCATGACACAGAGGAGAGGACGTGCAACTCACCACAGCTCCTGGTGCCGGCAGCAGACCTTCACCACCCCAACGCCTCTCTCTGCCTCTGCCCCTTCCTTCTCCCCAGTGCCAGCTGCCCGACCCTCACCCACTCGGCAGCACGGATGCTGCTCATCCACAAGGCTTCATTGATACATGGTGGCTCACATGTGTAGCCAACAGAGGTTGGGGACAGCTCAAAGGGATCCTTCCTTGCCACAGCGACTGGCCATTCCTTGCTGGAGGCACCTGCCAGCCAGACCCCCTTGGATTCCCTCCTCAGCCAGTTCCCCTCCATCAGCTCCCTCAGGCAGGCTTGCCCAGGCAGCCCCCTTTAGAGCTGGAGCCTTCACACAGCAGGACCAGCCCCATCCTCAGCCTCACTGGCCACAGCTGGAGCTGTCCCAGCCCCAGCTGGAGCCCATCGCGAACAGGGGCTATTGCCAAAGCTCTACAGCACATCACCCCCTCCCCTGCACCTACCCACATCCAGGGACACAGAGGAGGCAGGAAAAATTTATTAATTAACGCACACAAGAAATCGTGGCAGTGAGTTGGCTACAAGGCTCAGTGCCCAAAGGCAGCAGGACGGGGGGATAAAAGGGAGGAGAAAAACAGGAGGAAGGACAGAGGGGCATAGAGGTGCGAGACAGGGAGCCAGAAAATGGGATGCTGGGAACAAGAGAGGGACAAGGAGCAGGAAAAGGGTGTAGAGAGAGAAGAGCAGAGAGACTGAACAAAACAACAAGGATGGGGAGATAGAGGAATAAATAACAGGAAGCAGGGGAGAGAAGGGGAAGGGACTGGCAGGACAACAAGACAGAGACAGGACAAGGGACAGGGAAACATTCTCAAGTGATAGGAAAGAAGAAACAGCAAGAACTAGAAAATAGAAACAGGGAGCCAGGTAGACGTAGAAAAATTTCAAAAAGCAACAGCATACAAGAAACATAGGCAAGAACTAACAAACAGGCACAGGGAGATAGAAAGAGGGAGATATAGAAAGAAAATGTAAGAAGTGACAGGGTACAGGACAGATAGGGAAGAGTTAAGAACTAGAGACAGGGAGATCGATAGAGGGAGACATAGAAAGAAAATTTTGAAAGCAACAGGATACAAGAATCAAAAAGTAGGTACACAGAGCTGCATAGAGGGAGACATAAGGAAATTTGAAAAGCATCAGGGTACAAGAAACACAGGCAAGAAATTAAAATGAGGTCAGGGAGACAGAGAGAGGGAAAGGTGGCAAGAAAATTTAAAAAGCAGCTGCATTTAAGAAACATGCAAGAATTTAAATAGGGATGGAGAGGTAGAAAGAAAGTTTCAAAAGCGATGGCATACAAGAAACATAGGCAGGATTTAAAAAATAGGGACAGGGAGCCTGACAGAAGGAAACTGTGGTGGGTTGACCTTGCTGGCTGACAGGTACCCACCAAGCCACTCTATCATTCCCCCTCCTCAACAAGACCGGAGTGTAGAGAATACAAAAGAAAAGCTTGTGGGTCAACATAAGGTCAAAGAGATCACTCACCAGTTACTGTCACAGGCAAAACAGACTTGACCTGGGGAAATTAATTTATTGTCAGTCAAAATCAGAGTACGATAATGAGAAATATGAACAAATCTGACAAACAGCTTCCCCCCACCCCTCTCTTTTTTTCCTGGGCTCACCTTCACTCCTGACTTCTCTACCTCCTCCTACCGAGCAGCACAGGGGGAGAGGGGGGTTGCAGTCAGTTCATTACAAGTTGTCTCTGCTGCTCCTTCCTCCTTCACGCTCTTCTTCTGTTCCAGTGTGTGTCACTCCCATGGGGCCGCAGGTCCTGCCAGAAAACCTGCTCCAGTGTGGGCTCCTCTCCATAGCGTCACAGCCTCCTTCAGGTGCATCCACCTGCTCCGGCGTGGGGTCCTCCCTGGGCTGCAGGTGGAGATCTGCTCCACTGTGGACCTCCCTGGGCTGCAGGGGGACAGCCTGCCTCACCATGGTCTTCCCCACGGGCTTCAGCACCTCCTCCCCTCCTTCTTCACTGACCTGGGGGTCTGCAGGGCTGTTTCACACTCACATTTTCTCTACCGCAGCTTCTGCACAGCATTTTTTTAGCCATTGTTAAATATCAGAGAGGTGCTACCAGCGTTGCTGGTTGGCTCAGCTTTGAGCAGTAGCAGATCTGTCTTGGAGCTGGAACTGGCTGTGCCCAACATGGGGGCAAGTCCTGGTGTCTTCTCACAGGACCCACACCTGCAGCCCCTGCCCACTCCCCCACCCCAGCTAGCAAAACCTTGCCACACAAACCCACTACAACAGCGATCGGCTATAGGGCAGAGAGGGGCGATTGAAAAATAGGGAAAGGGAGACACAGAGGGAGAGAGGCAGGGGCAGGGGGGAAATAGCAATGGGCTACAGGACAGAGAGGAGGAACTAATAAAAAGGGAGAGGGTACCAGAGAGAGAGATGGAGAAAAACAAAGATTAATGATGGGCCACAGGGCAGAAGGAAGAATTAAAAAAGGGGACAGTGAGGTAGATGAGAGAGACTGAGAAATATCAAAAACACTGATGATCTAAAGGGGAGAGAGAGGGAAAATAAAGAATAGGGACAGGGAACCAGACAGAGAGACTAATAAAGACAACAATGGGCTATGGGACAGTGAGGGAAGAAGTTAAAACACAGGGACAGGGACTTGGAATAAAAGAATCTAAGAAAGTAAAAGTATATCTAGAATACAGGGCAGGGAGAGAGGAATTTAAAAATAGAGACACAGCGCCAGACAGGTGAGAGCGGTGGGAATTGTGAAGGGCTAAAGGACAGACAGGGAGGAATTAACAAGATTGGGATAGGAAGACAGACAGATAGATGGAGAAAGACAAATTAGTGATGGGCTGCAGGGCAGAGACAGAGGATGAATAAAAAGAGCGATGGGACAGGACAGAAGTGCAGAGAGAAAAATAAAACAGAGAGGCAGAACAACAGAGAAAGAGGGGGACTTAGAGAACAAGAGAGGGAGAGGTACAGGAAGAAAAAAACAAAAAAATTAAAGCAGTGAGAGAAAGAAAAGGTGGGGGCAGGGAGGGACTGGGATGCAGAAGAGGGGTGACACAGCCCCAGGGGTCCAGGACTCACTGTACCTCCCGCTCTTGGAGCTGCTGGGAGAATTTGACAGTTCGGACACATCTGTCTGTCTCTCCCTCTCCCTTCCTGCTCTGTAGCTCTGGTCACTTGACTGTCATCCACCTAAGAGAATAGGTTGGTGTCTTAGAGCTCTTACCATATGAGGCTTCCTAGAAACACAGACTCACATGTGCACAAACTACATGGCTGTACTGTGCTTTTGGTTACGCATACAGACCCTGCCGTGCATGTCGGTGATTGAATCTGCTGAGGATTACACTAAGAGGGATCCTTCCTCACCTGGAGAGGCAGGCTGTCTCCTGTCTGCAGCTGCTGGCTGGACCCCCTTTATTTTATTCTTCAGCAGCTTTACCTTTCTCTAGCCTCTCCAGCTTCAGCCACAGCAGCTCCCATCCACAACCAGTAAGCGCTCCGCCTGTCCCTTTTTGCTCCCATGCCAGGAGGAGTGCGAGGCCAGGCAGAGACAGCCCATGCAAGCCTGAGGCGGGCGCAGCCAGCAGCATCCCCATGGGAGGAACGGACAACCGCATCCTCAGTGCGGCCTCTGGAAGAGGGAAAGAAGAAGCAGCGACTGTTATTATCACAGATCACCCCTGGCCGGAGCCCCTCCTTCCACAGGGGCTCCCGCAGACCCCGCTCTTTCCCCACACTGCTGCTAATGGTACCCATGTTCAGGGAGACTCAAGACCACCGGAGGGACAGCTCGCTGCCCTCATGACAGGGCTTGGGGGCTGCCTGGGGCTACAGGACAGGCTTCAGGGTGGGGGGGGGGGGGCTGGAACTGGGGGCAGCCACACAGGGCGAGCGAGGCCAGGGGAGGCTCCGGCGGGGCTCCGGCAAGTGGGGAAGGGGCCCAGTGGCCACTCCATGGGGCTGCGATGGCCTGGCTCGCCTCCAGTGGACCGGGAGCCTGCCGCACCGGCCACTTTGCAGCTTCCCGTCCCGCCAACCCCAGGTGGGCAGTGGGCAGGAGGCACCGCCTGCCCAGGCCGGAGGGGATCGCTCACCTCACCGGTGGTCCCGGTGATACAGGGAAATAACTATTTGCCTTTTGACCACTTAAATATTGTTTAATAATTCTGTTGGCCTTGTTTGTTCTTTCGAAGCTCGCTTGCCAGGGCCAGGCACCTGTGGTGTCTGTCAAGGGTTAAGCTTATCAGGGACTGGTATTCGTCAAGGACTGACAGGCCAAACAAAGGGAGTGATAAGGGGAACTGCAATGCTAGTCTTACCACAGAACTTGTTAGGACTTCTTAAAAACTGCTGAAATCACCAAGTAAGAAGAGAGCATGCATGAATGACTAAAGTTCACTAGAGGACAAAAGAAGAAGAAAAGACCCCTGAAGAAGTAAACGACCACCAGAGACAGATCTGAGCCTGCTCAAGATGACATAAACATTTTAGAACTGCTGACACAAGCTTTTGAACTAACCCCGCCCCAACTTATACATATGTATATTTTGTATAGTGTAACCCTATGAATATGTATACTTTGGTGTAAGAAATATCTGGCTGCTTGCTGAGACGGTGTGCAAGCTTTGAGTGGAAATCCCCTTGCACCCGGCGCCGAAATAAACACACCTGCTTTATAACTCACTCTCCGAGTTGTAAAGTTTGATCCGCGCGGCACCGGCGCCCACCCGCAGTCCGCCCTGGGCGCCGCCATACTGCTTCCGCGGCATGCGCATGCGCGGCCGCCGAGCTGCAGTACCGAACTTTGCTCAATAGGCGGCAGCAGGGAGCGCTTGCTAGAATGCGCCGCCGCGCATGCGCAGTTTCAGTGCTGCGTTGCCTAATTTTGGTCAATAGGAGGCAACAGCGAGCGAGCTGCAAAACGCGCCGCTGCGCATGCGCGGCTCCCCACCTGCAGTACCTCGTTTTGGTCGATAAGAGACAGCAGCGAGCGCTTGGCAGAACGCGCCGCTGCGCATGCGCGGCTCCCGCGGTGTGGTACCGATTTTTGGTCATTAGGTGGCAGGAGCGAGGGTGCGGCAACACTCGCTACTGCGCATGCGCAGGTTCACGCCTGCAGTACCTAATTTTGGTCAATAGGTGACAGCAGCGAGGTAGCTATAAAAAGGGGTCACCGCTCATGCGCCGTTTCCAGGCCGCAGTACCGCATTTTAGTCAATAGGAGGCAGCAGCGAGTGTGCTGCAAAATGCGCCACTGCGCATGCGCGATTTCAAGAGCTAAGTGCCCAATCTTGGTTAATAGCTGGCAGCAGCGAGAGCGGTGTAAAACGCGCCACTGCGCATGCGCGGCTCCGAGCTGCAGTGCTGAATCTTGGCCGGTAGGTGGCAGCAGCGAGCGCTGGGTCAAAAGGCGCCACTGCGCATGCGCCGTTCCAAGGCGGCAGTACCGCATTTTGGTCAATGGGGGCAACAGCGAGTGCGCTGTAAATGCGCCAGTGCGCATGCGCCGTTTGTGAGCTGCAATACGGCGTCTTGGTCAATAGGTGACAGCAGCGAGGTAGCTATAAAAAGGGGTCACCGCTCATGCGCCGTTCCAAGGCGGCAGTACCGCATTTTGGTCAATGGGCGGCAGCAGCGAGGGCGCTGCCAAGCGCGCCGCCGCGCATGCGCAGCTCCCGGTCGGCAGTACGGCGCCTCGGCCGCCGGGCAGCAGCATCCTCTTAACGATCGTGTTTGAGCATCAGCGGGAGGAGAGGTGACGGACATCTCAGCCCGGTTTAGACCAGCCAAACGCAGTAACTACTTACTGGGGGTACAGGGCTTACATTTCCCTGCCCTTTTCCCACCCGCAGCCCGGACCGTAATCTTCATCGCCTCCGTTCCAAAAAGCATCCAAGGGGCTGGAGCGTTCACAGCAGTCAAGTGCAAAGACAATTCCAGGTGGTTCCTTCTGTCCCTGCCCCACAACCCATTACCTAGGGAGGAGAAGCAGCACAGGCAACCTGTGGAACAGGAATTTTTTTTTTCCTCCGGAGCAAGCCCCAGGGATTGCTGTGTTAGTCTGCAAGTGGCATCAGGGTTGTGCGAGTGAGAGCAACACTTGCTAGAGAGAGATTTTAAAACAATACGGCGACACAGCTGACATCCTGAAAGCAGTAGCGAAGAGACTGAGACCTGCTTTATGGGAGAGGGGCAGCTCTGTTTAGCGGTGTCATGGTTTAACCCCAGCTGGAGGTTCCATCTTTGCTCTGTACCGTGCTTCGCTACACGGTTTGGTCCCAAGGCTTTTGCTGGGCTTTGCCGAAATCCTCAAGGGGCCCCTGCTGCCTTCCAGAGTGCACTGGGGCTCTTGCCTTGCACTACATTAGTTTGGGGGTTCATTGGAGCTCCTGAGCTCAGCTGGGCCCCCTAAGGGAATTTTGAGGGATCCCACAAGGGGTTTGGGGACTCTGGGACCTCTAAGGGAGGTGGTCCAGGGACCCCAGGAAAGTTTTGGGGTTCCCCAAGGCCTTTCAGTGCTTGGAAACCTGGATAATACACATATACCACCCCTGGCTGCTGATTCCGGCCCCCACCCTGCACCAAGCAGCACCAGGTGTTTAAATGGGGAGGGGGTGTCAGTGGGGCACCAATGGGTGCTGGGGGGGCATGAGCACCCCTGGGTGGTCAGCCCTGCTGGAGCATCTCGCAGCACTCCTGGGTGCTGAGGGGACTTTGCAGCACCCCTGAGTGTTGGGGGGGGGGGCTAAGCAGCACCCTTGGATGCTGAGGGGGCCTGCAGCACCCCTGGGTGCCAGGAAGAGCTCAGAGTGCCAGCATTCACCTCACCAAGGCTTGGGGTGGGTGCAACGGGTGCTGCCGAATTCCCCGGGGCCCCCGCACCACCCTGCCATCAATCGTTCCATTCATGTGTCCACCCGCGCCCATGGGTGCTGCTGGACGGGATTGCTGACTCAGCACATTGCTCGGCTGCTCGGGGGGGACCCAGGCATCTGGGCTCCCCTGGGGATGCTGTGGGAGTCCTTGGGGTGCTATGGGGGTCCCAGGGGTGTTATGGGTGTCCTAGGAGTGTTATGGGGGTCTCAGGGTCACTGTGGGTGTCTAAGAGGTGCTTTGGGGGTCCTAAGGGTGCTATGGGGATCCTGGGGATGTGATGGGTGTCCCAAGGGTGTTATGGAGGGGTCCCAGGGGTACTTTGGGGTCCTGGGGGTGCTTTGGGAGTTCCCAGGGTGCTTTAGGGGTCTCATGGAGGGTCCCAGAGGTACTACAGGTGTGCTGGGAGTGCTATGGGGCTCCTAAGAGTGCTGTGGAGGTCCCGGGGGTGCTCTGAGGCTCCCATGGGGGGGATCCCAGGGGCATTTTGGGGGGGTCCCAGAGGTACTATCCCCCCACAGCCCAGGGGTGCCCCCAAATCCTGCAGGCCACTAGCCCAGTACCCATGTACCTTTGCACCCATGCACTCCTGCACCCTGGCACTCATGCACCTCTGTGTCTGTGCACTCATGCAACTGTGCACCCATGCACTACTGCACTCATGCGCCATGCTTCTGTGCACCTGTGCACCCATGCACCTGTGCAGCCTGCAGATTGCATATGCAGGCACTGACACCCAGAGCAAGGGCAGACCCAAGCAGGGGGATCACAGTTTGCAGGATGCATCCCCGTTCCCTCCAGCTTCTCTCCCACTCGGCTCATTCCCAGCTGCTGAGCCAGGAGTCCATCACTGCGGCCGCAGGCCTGGTCAGCCAAATCGAGCCTCATGCCATCCTCCGTCCCACGGAATTTTGTGCTGAGCCTCCCAAATTCCCGGAATTCCCCTGAGGTAGCAGTGGGGGGGACCCAGGACAAGGGACACCCTTGTCCTGCCGGTGTGTGGGTGGGTGCCAGCGGGAAGTTAGGGGTGTGATGGCAAAGGAGGGGGGGTCTCTGGCGTGGAGCCAGTGACCTTTGCTGAGCAGGCGTGGGATGGAGAGCCCGGACGCCTGGGTTCTCTTTTAGGGGGGCCCGGACGCCTGGGTCCCCCCATCCTGATTGGGGGGGGTGAGGGGGACACGACTACTTCCTAGCGGAGCACCGGAGTGGGAAGGAGCTGGGAGGTAAGGGGGGTCTTGGCAGATCCCAGTAGAGAGGTTTGGGGGTGCAGGGTGGAAAAGGGGGCCCCCTCTGCTCTAGGGCTGCCTGCACTCTGCGGGTGTGGGGCAGGGGGCATTGGGGAGGTGGGGGGCTGCAGCAGGAGTGGTAAGGGGGCTGTAGTGGCAATGTCGGGGGTCTGCAATGGGGCAGGCTGGGGGTCTGCAACAGGAGGTTGGGGGTGCGTGCACCCCATTTGCAGAAGCCGGAGCACCGCCGGAGCACCGCCAGCCCCTGCCACCGCCTGTGTCTCTCACGGACCCCAGTGACACCCCCTGGAGGAGGGGACCCCCCCCCCATCCCCCCATGGAGGTGAGGGCTGCGGTGGGCGGTGGGGCACTGCGTGGGGCAGGGGGGAAGGGTCAGATCCCACCCCCACCCCTCTGCCCCATAGGAGGACGCGGAGCTGGTGGAGCTGGAGACGGCACCCGAGGCTGGGGTGACAGGCGTCACCGTGGCCCGTGACCGCCACGGCCTCTACATCGCCAAGGCGCCCAAATCCCTGCGCGTCCACCAAGGTGGGAGGGGGGGTCCCCGAAACCCACCTGGATTTAAGGGGAGGAGTGGCACTCATGGTGACAGCCCCTGTGGTGCCTGTAGGTGACCAGCTCCTCAGCGCCAGGGTTTTCTTCGAGGGGGCCCCCCCTGAGGACGTCGCACGGGTTCTGGAGAGTGCCAGGTCCTGCAAGGTCTCGCTCTGCCTCCGACATCGGACACCTGGCACCCGCATCCCCCTTGGCAGCACCAGCACCGGCAGCGAGGGACATCAGGGGAAGGTGGCCAGGCTGGTAGGTCCCTATGGATGAAGGACTGGGATACGGGATGCTCGGAGGGTCCCTATGGACACAGCACCATGGAAATGGGATGCTTGGGGAGTCCCTATGGATGCAGGACAGGGATGCGGGATGCTCAGGGCAAGGGTGCCGTATGGATGTGGCACCAGGGATGTAGGATGCTTGGGGGGGGGTCCCTATGAATGCAGGATCATGAACATAGGATGCTTGGGGAGGTCCCTATGGATGCAGGACCGGGATGTGGGATGCTCGGGGGTCAGGTCCCTATGGATACAGCATCAGAGGTGGGATGCTCGGGGGGTGTCCCTATGGATGCAGGATCATGAATGTGGGATGCTTGGGGAGGTCCCTATGGATGCAGGACCGGGATGTGGGATGCTCGGGGGTCAGGTCCCTATGGATACAGCATCAGAGGTGGGATGCTCGGGGGGTGTCCCTATGGATGCAGGACTGGGATACGGGATGCTCGGAGGGTCCCTATGGATGCAGGACTGGGGATGTAGGGTACTCAGAGGGTCCCTATGGATGCAGGACTGGGGATGTAGGGTGCTCAGGGGGGTGCCTATGGATGCAGGACCATGATGTGGGGTGCTTGGGGAAGACCCTATGGATGCAGAACTGGGATGCGGGATGCTCGGGGGTTGGGTCCCTATGGATACAGCATCAGAGGTGGGATGCTCGGGGGGTGTCCCTATGGATGCAGGACTGGGATACGGGATGCTCGGAGGGTCCCTATGGACACAGCACCATGGAAATGGGATGCTTGGGGAGGTCCCTATGGATGCAGGACAGGGATGTGTGATGCTTGGGGGTTGGGTCCCTATGGATACAGCATCAGAGGTGGGAAGCTCGGGGGGGGGTCCTATGGATGCAGGACTGGGGATGTAGGGTGCTCGAGGGGGTCCCTATGGATGCAGGACAATGAATGTGGGATGCTTGGGGAGGTCCTTATGGATGCAGCACCGGGGATGACAGATGCTCAGGGGTCCCTATGGGTGCACACCTGAGTGCAGTGGGTGCCAGGTCCCATCTCCCCCCACCTCACCCAGAGCATCCCGATCCTGACGCCCTCCAAGAAGCCGCCACAGGCACCCAGCACAGTGAGCACAGCAGCTGCCGGCACTGTGGCCGTGGAGTTTGCCCTTCCCAAGCTCCCCAAGCTGGTGAAGAGCCAGAGCACTGCCGAACCAGCACCAACAGCCACATCCACTGCAGTGCTGCCAGCAGCGGAGCCCAAGCGGCCACGTGCGACGCCATCCCGGTTAACAGTGAAGGAAGCGGCAGCCCGCAAAACACCAGTGATGGAGGAGCAACCAGTGAAACCGGAGTTTCCTGGCGTTGCCGCCGAGGTGCCAGCGGGTACTGGCACCCGGTTACCAGCTGTGGAGGTGGCAGCACCCAAAGTCTCCATGGGGCTGAGCCTCGCCGGCACAGCACCACCAGCCACCCTTCAAGCCAAGGAGCCGGCATTACGGCTGCCGCAGTTGGAGGTGGCTGTGCCAGCACTGATGCTGCCGGCGGTGATGACAGAGCCCCTCGCAACCATAAGTCAACCCCAAATCAAGCTGGGGGAGGGAGACACCCCCAGAAGCAGCCATAAGGGTGGGGGGAGCCCAGTGCTGAAAACCAAGCTGCCAAATTCCGGTGGGGCCCGAGTGGAGGATAAGGAGGGGGATGCCGGCACGCGAGGGGGGTTCACTGGCATCCGTGTCCCCTCCATCGGCATCGCCATCCCCAGCGCTGCCGTGGAGCTCGTCCCTGAGCTCAGCATGCCCAAACTAGAGCCAGCCATCTCTGTTGAGCAACCGCAGTTGGAGGTGAAGCTGCCAGCACGACGGTCAGAGTCGCCGCCAGCAGCACCGGCTCGGTTGGCTTTCCCGGCAGCAGTGGTGCCATCCATTGATATCGCTGTGCCGCACATTGGTGTGGGTTTGGCATTGCCAGCAGGTGCTGACACCACAGTGGTGCCGGATGAGGGAGTCGCTGCGGTGATACCGGACATGGCAGCCAGGTTTGCCAAAGGGCTCCAAAAGCTCAGCCTGGAGCTGGAGCCCAAAGCACCACTGCCGGCGGTGGAAATCGCCACCCCAGCACAGCTCACCGGGGACATGGCAGCAACCGGCGCCAAACCCAAACCCCCCAAATTCACCCTGCCGCGGTTCGGATTGTCCCTTGCCAAGCTCAAAACAGGTAGCGATGGCAATGGGTATCCCCCGGCATCCCGCGGCACAACCGTGCCAGCGCCACCCAGCATCGCCGTTGCCAGTCCCACAGTGGCCTTAGACCTGGCTTTGGGGACAGCTGGTGCCACCGGTGCCGGGGCCAAGCTGAAGGTCCCCAAATTATCCCTAGCACCTTTTGGTGTCAAGGATGGGGACAAGGGTGCTGGTGGTGAGGAGGGTCCCCAGGATACCAGCGCAGTGATGAAGTTGCCACAGTTGGGAATTGGGGGGTCTGGGGGGGACGAAGGGAAGTCAGCAGAACTGGGGTCCCCTGGGACCCCCCGGCTTCGGGTACCACGGGTGGGCATTGCCCTGCCGGCAACAGGCAGCCGGCGTGTGCCGTCGTTGCCTAAACTCCCTGCAGGGCCAGACCTGGGTGGGGTGGTGAAGTTGCCGAAATTTGGGGGATCCAGCCCCGACATCCGCATCGGGGGGGACCCCAAAATGATGAGACGTGGAGGAAGTGCCGAGAGCTTGAGTATTGGCACAGCAGGAAGGAAGATGCCGGAGTCTCCTGGCACGATCCTGTTGAAGCTGAAAACCAGGGGGGCGATGGGTGATGGCGGGGTGCAGCCGTTGACTACCCGATTCTCCGTCCCCGCTGTGGGTTTTACCATGCCGGTAAAACAACCAGAGGAGCCAGTAAGCCGGAAGATACCAAAACCCACCAGCGTGCCGGCATTGAAGGTGCCAATGTTGGAGCTGGCACCGCCAGGGATGGATGGGATGGAGGAGACCACCAGGAAGGATGAAGCACCAGGACGCCAGTCTAGGGTCAAATTGCCGAAATTCAGTGCAGGTTTTGCTGGGAGCGGGTTGGAAGGGGAGGGGAGGACGAGGATGGGCAGCGTGAAGAAGGCAGTGTTGGTGCTGGTGAAGCCGAAGGAGAAAGGAGAAGACAACAGGGTTGTGGACCCCCACCCCCATGTCAATGGGGAAGCGGAGGGCAAGGCCCGGCGACGGCGGTGGATGCCCAGGGTGGGTTTCTCCCCTGGGGGCTCCCCACCGGAGCCCCCCATCACCCAACCCAAAGTGGGGAAGATGCGGTTACACAACATGGAGCGCTCCCCTGGGGACCCTGAATTCAACAGGGTGATGACAGAAGTCACCCCACGCTTCAATTTGGGGGGTTTCAGGGGTGAGGGGACCCCTAAATTTCAGCTGCCTAAGGTGGCACTGACCCCCCAAGCCTGTGGTGAGCAGTGAACCCCTCCCGTCCCCGAGCATGAGGGTCTTCAGGGAACCCCTGAAAAAGTGATGGGGTGGTGGAGCATCACTTGTTCCCCCAGACCCTCTTTAACCCCTTTACTTCCCCCAAAAATTCATAATCCAGCTTTTTTGGGGGGGAGTGTTTGAAGCTTTTTTTTGCCCATTTTCCAGGTGTTAATATTAACCAGGGGGTGGGGGGGTGGGCAGCAGTATCACTCACCTGCAGCTCCTTGCTCTCAGCTCAGCCAGAATAAATAAATGTTAACCCCCCAGAAAAGCCCTGAGCTTGTCTACGGAGTCTGGGGATTGGTTTGGGGGGACCAGGGATAGGTTTCAGAGGGTGGGGATGGGGTTGGGGACCAGGGATGGATTTTGGGGTGCTGGGATGGGTTTTAGTGGACCAGGGATGAGTTTCAGGGGATTTGGGATGGGTTTTGGGGGGCTGGGATGGATTATGTTGGGATGGATTTTGGGGGATGGGGATGGGTTTCAGAGGATCAGGGATGTGTTTTGGGGGGCTGGGGCTGGGCCCTGGGGGGACAAGGGATGTGTTTTGGGGGATTGGGGATGGATTTGGGGGGACCAGGGCTGGGTTTTGGGGGGCTGGGATAGGTCTTGGGGGACCAGGGCTGGGTTTTGGGGGACTAGGGCTGGGTTTCAGGGGGTTCCTCCATCCAGGCTGCAGCCCCTTGCATAGGGGAGCGGTTGCTGCCGGGGACGATGTCAGCAACAGAAGGTGTTGTCATGGCAATGCTGGAATGGGCAGTGCTTTGGGGGCCAGGTTGAAGCAGTTGGGTGTCCCAAGCCCCTCTTGGGTGCTGAGTGGAGAGTCCCAAGCCCCTGACAAGGAGCCGACCCACCATGGGGACGCTGGTGGTTGGTGCCGAGTACTATGACCTGGTGGCCACGGTGGGGAAGGGAACATTCGGGGAGGTGACCCAGGGCTGGCGGAGGAGCACAGGGGAGATGGTGGCCATCAAGATCCTGAAGAACGAAGGCCACCATGGCAGGGTGGTGAAGAATGAGCTGAGGCTGCTGCAGGCCTTGCGGGAGGTGAACACGGAAGAGTCACATGTCGTCCGTTTCCTCGAGTCCTTCGGAGATGGTGCCTGTACCTACCTGGTCTTCGAGCTGCTGGAGCAAAACCTCTTTGACTTCCAAAAGCGGAACAACTTCTTGCCGTTGCCCGTCCGGCACATCCGTACCATCACAGCGCAGGTGCTGGCAGCATTGGTCAAGCTGAAGGAGCTCTCTATCATCCACGCCGACCTCAAGCCAGAGAACATCATGCTGGTGGACCATGCGCGCTATCCTTTCCGTGTCAAGCTCATTGACTTCGGCTCGGCGAGCATCGTCACTGAGGTCTGCCATGTCAAGGAACCCTACATCCAATCCCGCTTCTACCGGGCACCAGAGATCTTGTTGGGGTTGCCTTTCTGCGAGAAGGTGGACATCTGGTCTTTGGGTTGCGTGGTGGCTGAGCTTCACTTGGGTTGGCCGCTCTACCCTGGCATCAACGAGTACGACCAGGTCCGCTACATCTGCTCCACCTTAGGGCTACCACGGGGCGAGTTGCTCTGCGCTGCTCGGAAGACGCGGTCCTTCTTCCAACGGGTGCCACATCCCACTGGTTCCTGGCAGCTCAAACCACCAGGCAAGGAGATGGCGAAGCCAATGGAGAGGAGGAAGTATGTCTTCTCCTCGCTGGATCAGTTGGCGGTAGTGAACATCCGCCCCGTGTCTTATCCTGGCCAGGAGGCACTGGCCGAGCACTGTGACCTGTGTGGGATGGTGGAGCTGGTCAAGAGGATGCTCACCTGGGACTCACATGAGAGGATCATGCCCAGCACCGCCCTCAAGCATCCCTTCATCTCCTTGCAGCAGGTGAAGTCCAGCTTCAAGGCCACTCGGTACTACCAGCTCTGCCAAGAGGACTTGAGGGCATGCCACAAGGATGCCAGCACGGTTGAGATCTTCCCTGGCATGGAGGAAGGTGCCTTCATCCCCGACGACCAGTGCAGCATCCAGAAGGCCATCGCCCAGATGGATAAGCTCAGCCTGGCTGAACTGGTTGGGGACACCAGTGACAAGAGCCAGCAGGATGTCTGCCAAGCCCCCATCCCCACCCACTACGGCAACCGGCACCGCCAGCATCACCGGCGTCCCAAGACGGAGCCCACTGCCAGTAACCTGATCTTGCTGGGGTCCCCTGGCAGACGGGAGCAGCACAGCCACTGCAATGGCAGCATGGTCTTTGGTGGCATTGTGGAGCAGAACCTGCCTAGAAGACCATGCAACTCGCTCCACACCAAGGTATGGCCAGGGGGTGGGGGGGCTCACATGGAGACCAGGGGCTCCTGGGCATGCGTGCTCTGGGACACTGGGTGCTTGGGATCCCATGGGGTGCTTTGTGTCCCCCAGGTGCTTCGGGTCCCTTGATGCTCGGGGTCCCTGGTACCCCACATCATGGGTGCCTGTGGTCCCTGGTGCCCCATGTCAAGGGTGCTTAGGGTCCCTGGGTGACCTAGGTTCCCACAAAGGGGTTGGGACCCCACCCACAGGTGCCACTCACACCCTCCCCCCGTGCTTCTTCCCCCCCACAGAGAGCTCCGGTGACACGGCACGAACCCAAGCCCCCACGTCCCATCCCTGTCCCTGAGGATGGGTTCTGGGGACCAGCCTGGGATGCCCCTGCTGTACCCGGCATGCTCCTCCCAGCACAGAACTGGCAACACTCACAGCACCACTGAGCCACCGCAGCAACCCTGGCAAACAACCTGGCAGCCAAGAGCTCACCAGAGACCTTCCTCTTCCTCATCTTCAGTCACCTCAACTGGTAGAACCCAGCTCCATGCCAGTAGAGGATAATGTAGCCAGGGATGCACCAGGATGTGCTGTGCTGGATGCTGTCAGCTCTGGTTTTTGCAATGATCCCCCAATAAATGGTTTGTTGACAACCCAGCATTTCATCTAACTCTTTGCCAGAATAGGTTTGGTACCGCCGAGACTTGAGGGGCATCCCAGCTTCCTTCCCAGTGCTGGCACAGCATTTGGCAAAGGCCCAGTGCGCTCCACCACCATGGCGTGGAGGACCCCCCACCTCAATAACAGGAATGCAAAGTCCAGAAAAACTCTTTTTTTTCTGTTTTTCTTCCCCACATTGGAGCGGGGCAGCCAGATTCAGCACAGCCAGAACCTGTGGTTCACTGGTGGTCTGTTCCCCGGCACCTAACGGGAGCCGCAGACGGTCTCCCACCGCTCTGCATCGCTGATGTCGGCACTGTACTGGGAGCTCCAATCCCGCTCAAAAACTGCCTGCAGCTGCTCCCGGATGGTGCTGGTGTCAGCAGCAGTGCCAGCACTGGTTTGGCTCACTGTCTGGTTCACCACCAGTGCCGATCCCGCCGTCCGCACGAAGTAGTCACCAGACCAGTTGGATGTCCCTGCAAGAAGATTTGGGGGGGGACCCCAAAAACCACCCCCAAGCCACCGTCACCAGCAGCTGGCAGTGACTTGCACAGCGGCACCGCCACTTGCACCGCACTCACCGATATATGCCACCTTCTCCGTCACCATGTACTTGTTGTGGTTCACCCGGGCGTAGGGGATCTGGGCTTGTGCTCCACTCGCCGGCACCATGAAAAGCCGCTGCAGGGAGTGAGGAGACCGTCACCCACTGAAACATCACCCACTGGCACGCTGCAGTCGCGCTGTGATACCCACCACCTCCACGCTGTAGCGGGTCCTATTATCGGTGACGGCAGCAAGGGATTTGAGGAAGGGGAACATGGTCATTTGGCTGTGCCGCCAACAACCCGCCAACAAGCGAACCTTGACCCGGCGTTCAAAGACGGCTTTCCGCAGCCGGTTATCAATCGCGGGCCAAAATCTAGGGAGGGAAAGTGGTCAGGCATCACTGGTGCTGGCAAGCCAGGGTTGGCATAGGACCATACAAACCTTTGGGGGTGGGAGAATTCGGTGGTGGGTAGGTAGCTCATCACTGCGATGTCCACGAAGTCCTCAGCAGCATCGATGACACTGAGGAGGGCACCAAGATCCTGGGTCCGACCAGTGGCGCAGAGAGCCGGCGGGGAGCTCTGCCAGAATCATCAGAGATGGATCAAGCACTGACACAGCCAGTCCTCGGCACCAGGAAAACCAACCATGGTGAATTGGGGATGTACCGAGAAGTAGACTGCAGCATCGGTGTCGTTGAGCTTCAGTTCCAATGGCGTCTCCATGTTGAAGGTGGTGGAATAATTTGCCGGCCACGGTACTGGGATGGAAGCACCGGGAACACCAAGAGCCCAATAAGCTTCAAAGATTTTGCCTAAATCTTTGGCCAAGCAGCTGCAGTTGTAGACGGCAGCGCCAAGCTCCTTCACCTGCAGTGAGCAGCATGGTGGCACTGTCATATGACCGGGCAGTGCCATCATCCCTGTCCAATGCCATTAAGTCCCAATTTATGGCACTGAGCATCCCTTGATAGGGATGGGGGGTTAGTTTTGGGATAGCCCTGGTACTGTTCGGCACAGGTTCAGCACCATCTGGTGGTATGATGGTGCTGCCATGCTGCTCACCTGGGTCAAAGACCTCCAGTCCATGTTGGCGCTCCCAACGTAGAGGTGGGTGCCATCAACGAGCCAGAACTTGGTGTGCAGCACACCGCCAGTGAGCCGTGGCATATCAACAGTGCGCACCGCAGCACCTGCGCAACCACAACTTGGTCATCTCCCACTCAAAATCCCCCCCCCAAAAAATTTGGGTTTTTTTCCACCACTCACCACTCTGCTCCAGTGCTTGGAGATCATTCAGGGGCGATCTTGCCGACGGGTGGCTGACAGCTATTCGGACAGTGACGCCACGCTGGGATAATTGGAGGAGTTCTTCCAGGATTTGTTCACCCTGAATCAGCACATGGTTCGAGGCCAAAAAAAGCATAAATTATTAAAAATTATGGGAAGGAGAGAAAATGGCAGCCAGCGCCAGGTTCAAGCACCAAAATCAGAGCTGTGCCACGTGTGCCAGATGCCAGCAGTGCGGACCTGGGCGGCGGAGGGTTCATGTGTCCGTGTGTCCTCATTGGTCATGGTCCAGTAGAAGGAGGCGATGTCCAGGCTGTGTGTGACAGTCCCCAAGAGGTTCATCCACGTGGAGAAGGTGGACGGATTTGGCAGGGAACCATCATTGAAGGTCATTCCCTCCGGGATGCTCTCCACCAGGACGATCCTATGGCGGAAATTCGGCAGCACCGGCACTGGTGATTGTAGCACCAGGATGCCAAGGGTCTCAGGGGAGTGTCACCCCCCCATAAGCTTGTCTTACCGGCATGTGTCACCACAGGATCTGGCATTGCCACCAGCATCACTTCTGGCATCACTGCGGAGGACTGAGCTCAGCCGGAGATTAAAGAGGAGGAAGATGAGGATGAAGAGGGCAAGGAGGACGGTGGAGAGCAACGCACCGCGGGAGCACTGAGATAGAGAGGGGGTATCAGTGCCCCGAAATTAAGGAATAAATTAATTTACAGGTTTTAAAGCCAGCCCCAATACCAGTGGGATCTGGCAAGGGATGGCACCGGATCGAGACAGCACCGAAGCCGGCCCCCATAGACCAGGGGAGTTACCTTCAGCAGGAAGCGGGTGGGCTGAGCCCCACGGTCCTCCAGTGGGTCCAGCTGTGATGGGGGAAAAGAATTGGGGTAGGGAGGACCCCAAACCAGGGTGGGGGCTGCTTTGGGGGTAAAATCCACCTCAAAATGCCTGGGGTCCCCAGGGAAAGGTGCCCCTCCATTCCCCACATTACCAGGGGTCCCTGTGGGGTTCAGGGTCTGGGTGAAAATGGGGGTCATGGGGCACCCCAGTTTGGGGTTGTAGGGCGCTGGGCAGGGTGCTATAGGGCACCCCAGTTTGGGATTTTAGGGTGCCAGGATGGGGCAGGGAGCTATGGGGTGCCCCAGTTTGGGGTTGTAGGGTGCCAGGACAGGGCAGGGAGCTCCATGACCCCCAGTCTGGGGATTCGGGGTGCCACCAGCACCATACCTGCTTATAGGTGCCGTCGGGATTCATCCCAGGGTGACGCTGGAACAGAACAAACCGGATTTCTCCTGACATGCCCGGACAGTTGAGACCCCCCCGGGGTACGGCACAGCTGGGGTTTTCAGAGTACAGATAAGGGCAAAGACCCCCAAAAACCCAGGCGGGGCAGAGGCTTTGCCGGCTGACTCACGGGATCAGGGTGCTCACGTGCCCTGACCCATTTGGGGCGGAGAGGGGAAGTGCCTGTTCCTCCCACCCCCAGCCATTGGGGCTGGGCCCCTTTGGAATAGGGTGGGGCACCCCAATTTTGGGGTGCAGACCCCCCCACACTCTGCAGGACCCCTCCCCTGTGCCTCAGGGACGCCACAAAAAGGGGGTGCTCGGCCCCAGGGATTAGCCCCCCCAAAACCCTGCCCTGTTTTGGGGGAGGGGGTTAGGGTTGGGAAAGGTTAGGGTCGGGAGGGATTAGGGTCTAGGGGGGAAGGTTAAGCTCAGTCTGGTGTCAACCTCTGTCTCAGCTGAATTTGGGGGAGGGGGTCAGGGCTGTGTTTTGGGGTTAAGATGATGTTCAGGGGTGGGTTTAGGGCTACAGTCAGGGTCAGGGTAATGTTTAGGGGTTGTTTAGGGCCAGGGACATATTTAGGACCAGGTTTAGGGCCAGAGCCCAGCTTAGGGCCCGTTTTAGGGCCAGGCACATATTTAGGGCCAAGTTAAATGGCCAGGGACATATTTAGGACCAGGTTTAGGGCCAGGGCCCGGCTTAAGGCCGGTTTTAGGGCCAGGCGCATATTTAGGGCCAGGTTTAGGGCCAGGGGAGGGCTCAGGGCCGGGTTTAGGGCCAGGGTCCCGCTCAAGGCTGAGGGTCCTGGGGGTGCCCGGTGCTCCCCGCCCCACCCCTCCCCGTACCAAGACACCGGCGTCTGCAGGGGCGCCTGTTCCCGGAGCCGCCCGCTGGGGGGCGCCCTCGGTCCTCCAGCGCTCTATGGTCGCCCCTTCCTTCTCCGCCTCCCCCCCCTCCCCGCCACCTTCCCGCGCCGGGGCTGCCTAGAGCGGCCACCGCCCCCGCGTGCGCGACGGGTAACGCGCTGGGCCGGCCGGCGAGGTCACTTCCGGCGCTCAGTGACCGGTGTTTCCGGTAGGGCCCGGCCCGGCCCGGCGGCCGGAGGCGGCAGGATGGGGCGCGGCGGGAGAGGAGAGGTGAGGGGAGGCGGAGAGGGGGGAGGCGGAAGGGAAGAGGCGGAGGTGTGGGGCAGGAGGAGGGGGCAGGGAGGGAGTGTGGAGCAGCAGGAGGGAGCAGGGAGGGGGTGTGGGGCAGGAGGAGGAGGCAGGAGGAAAGAGAAGGCAGTGTGGGGCAGGAGGAGGGGGCAGGGGGGCAGGCAGGGAGGCAGCAGCAGCCTGGTGCCTGCCTGCTGGCCATCAGAGAGGCCACACAGACGCTGTCTCACCCGGCAGGCTGCTCCCAGCACTGCTGCCTAGCCCCGCGCCCACGTTCTCCGGCTCCTCAACCATGGTGTCCGTCACGATGGGTAAGGGACATTTCCCTCCCTGCGAGTGTTCCCGCTGCCCCCCTCTCCCCTCCGCTACCCAACATCACCCTAAATTGCTCTAAAACCCCGCAAATTGTATATTTTCATTTGGCAGACCATCTCCTCCCCTCACCCCCACTACCATCCCAGGAGTCGTTTTCCTCCCGATCCCATTAATCGCATGACAGCAGCTGTGAATGCCTGGAATGAGCCTCTTGGCCAGCGCCTGCTGACATCCAGGCAACCACCCCACCTCCTTTTCCATATCCACTTAGTTTTTCCTTTTCCACGACTTTTTTTTCAGCGACATCCGAATGGATTCAGTTTTTCAAAGAAGCTGGCATCCCCCCGGGCCCCGCCGTCAACTATGCTGTCATGTTTGTGGATAACAGGTGAGGTCACCAATGAGGCGCTGCGTTTTTATCACATCACAAGGGGAAAATAGCACTGAAATATTCCTCCAGTGAGGGGGAAGGAAGGAATTAACTGATTATCTCACTCCTTAATTAGTTACGTTAGTTATTCATCTGCACTGAGCTTCTTTTTCATTACTAGTGCTGTTTCCATGAGGGCGGTGGTGTCCGAACCCAGGCTGGGGATATCATGGTGCACCTTACGCAAGGCTTAATTAATCAGAGCTTATGACAAAGGGAGACCTCACTAAGCCAGGTCTTCCCTTGCTGCAGGATCCAGAAGAACATGTTGATGGATCTGAACAAGGAGATCATGAATGAGCTGGGCATTACAGTGGTAGGAGACATCATCGCCATTCTCAAACACGCCAAAATCGTGTACAGGCAGGTATGGTAAAGCCTCGCTGGCACAGGTTAAGCCTCACCAGCTCATTTAGCAGCAAAGTTTTGCCTCAAGGATCCTCGTTCGCCTCAGAAGAGCCGAAGGGAAAACCATCCTCCGTGTTTTTTTCCTTCAGGAGATGTGCAAGGCGGCCACCGAATTGCTCTGCCCCAGCTCCCCCAACATTCAAGCCGAGCTGCGCCGCAATGCCAACAGTGGTGAGCACAGGCAAGGGGTTTCTGGGAGATTAAATACCCTCACCTGATTAATGAGGTGCACTAATTGTCTTGAAATAAAGGGCTGAAACAATGGCTGCCTTCCCCACAATCCTGGGGAAGGACCACTCTAATTTAGCTGACAAGACGGATGCTTGTCACACTCACCAAAGCTCCTCGGGGTTTAAAACGTCTCCCTCACTGTGCTGTCCTCCTCTTCCAGCTGCCAGCCGGATGATTGCCAACAGCCTGAGCAGAGACTCACCTCCCGCCACCCCACTTCGACAACGGCCCCACAGCTCCAAAATCTCTGTCACCGTCTCCAACAAACTGGCCTCTGCGAAGGCAGGTAGGGAGGGTGACAGATCCCAGCAAAAACAATGTCGAGTTGCTTTTTCCTTTCTGTTCCATGTTAAACCCCCCCAGCCAAATTTTAAAAGCTGCTTTGGATCTGGCTACAGGTTTTTTGAGCTAATCACATAACATCCTTGTCTCTGAAGTGGAGAGACATGGATTTGAGGAGTGGAACCCCTCAGTGGGTAAGGAATTGAACAGATGGTCTCACTCCAGCTCGACATCTGGGTGAAGACGGGTGATGAGCAAGGTCCCTCAGGGTTCTGTACTGGGACCAATTATGATTTAGCATCTTCGTTGGGGACAGGAACAGCAGGATTGAATGCACCTGCAGCCAGTTTGGGGGTGACCCCAAGCTGAGTGGCGAGGGTTGATGCTCCAGAGGGAAGGGATCCATCCAGAGGAACTATGACAGACTGGAGAGAGGGGGCCCATGCCAACCTCGTGAAGGCCGAGTACAAGGTCCTACATGAGCGAGTCCAGAGGAGGCCACAACAGTGACTGGGGTGGGACTGGAGCACCTCCCATACGAGGACAAGCTGAGAGAGTTAGGATGGTTCAGCCTGGAGAGAAGGCTCCAGGGAGACCTTAAAGCAGCCTTGCAGTGCTTGCAGGGGGCTACAGGAAAAGCAGGGGGGCTCTTTATCAGAGGGAGTAGAGACAGGACAAGGGAGAACGGTGTTAAACCGGAAGAGGGGAGATTTTCGTTAGAAATTCTTGACTGTCGGGGTGGTGGGGCACAGGAACAGGCTGCCTAGAGAAGCTGTGGATGCCCCCACGCTGGGGGTGTTCAAGGCCAGCTGGGACTGGGCTGGAAGCAACTTGGTCTAGTGGGAGATGTCCCTGCCCACAGCAAGGGGTGGATGGTCTTGTCGTGGTTTAACCCCAGCCAGCAACTAAGCACCACGCAGCCGCTCACTCACTCCCCCCCATCCAGTGGGATGGGGGAGAAAATCGGGAAAAAGAAGTAAAACTCATGGGTTGAGATAAGAACGGTTTAATAGAACAGAAAAGAAGAAACTAATAATGATAATGATAACACTATAAAATGACAACAGTAGTAATAAAAGGATTGGAATGTACAAATGATGCACAGGGCGATTGCTCACCACCCACTGACCGACACCCAGCCAGTCCCCAAGCGGCGATTCCCTCCCCCCACTCCCCAGTTCCTAAACTAGATGGGACGTCACATGGTATGGAATATTCCTTTGGCCAGTTTGGGTCAGGTGCCCTGGCTGTGTCCTGTGCCAACTTCTTGGGCCCCTCCAGCTTTCTTGCTGGCTAGGCATGAGAAGCTGAAAAATCCTTGACTATAGTCTAAACATTACTTAGCAACAACTGCAAACATCAGTGTTATCAACATTCTTCGCATACTGAACTCAAAACATAGCACTGTACCAGCTACTAGGAAGACAATTAACTCTATCTCAGCTGAAACCAGGACAGGTCTTTAAAGCCCCTTCCAGCCCAAACAATTCTGTGATTTTGTGGTTGGGAGTAGCTAGACACAGTGGGGGAGTGTGCTCGCAGAGCCCCAGTGCTGCAGGAGATCTGTTAGTGCTGAAACAGCCAGTTTCAGAGCTCACTCGAGCCTGGGACTGTGCCCAAGCACTCATAAAACCCTTCTACCCCCTAATTCTTGTTGTATCAAGGGCTCTTGATTTGCTCTTCCTTTGTCCCACCAGGTCCATGTGACGCGGCAGATGAAAATCCAATGATCCCAGTAAAACGCCGCCGGGTGACGGCAGAAATGGAAGGGAAATACATCATTAACATGCCCAAGGGCACCACGCCGAGGACAAAGAAAATCCTGGAGCAGCAAGCGGCCAAAGGTACCAGCGGAGGATTTTGATCTTCATTTTCTCTTCCAGAAGCCCGGTTTAGTCCCAATTTAGCCCATCATTACAAATCCCCCTAGAATTTTCAGAACCAGAGAGTTACTGGGTAGAAGTTGTGTTATTCCAAGGATATATTTACTCACTGTGAGCCGTAAAGGTTCTGCTCAAGTCCATTTAAGTCTTAGGAAGAAGGGGGCAGGTGGCTGTTTGCACGCTTTTATCGAGTGGATTTTATTTTGCCGGGTGCCCTGACAGTAGGATGGGGCTGAAAGGCCACAAGCCCTCAGCACTGACCCAATGTAGCTTCATTTTCTGGGGAAACCTCAAAAAAACCACGTTTTCTTGAAAACTGCAGGTCTGCAGAGGACATCTGTCTTTGACCGGCTGGGAGCCGAGGCAAAAGCGGACACAACCACAGGAGGCAAGGTGAGAGGACACGGGTTTTCAGCTGCAGGAGCATTCTGCTGTCACTCGCAGCAGCTGTGCCAAACCCCACTGAGATCCTCACATGACGGTCCTCTCCCCGAAGATTATTTTGGGGTTCACAGCAGCTCGCTTACCGCAGAGGGGCTGAAGGAACCTTGAAATAACCAGAAAATGGTGAGGAAACACCAGGGAAAAGGAGGATGGAGCCACGGAAGGCAAGCAGATCCCCAGTCTCTGGGTGATCCCCATCTGTGCTTCTATTTTGACCCCTTTAATGGTGGATACAGGAGGTTTTTTCTCTCCTCTGGAGGCAAAATGCTCTTTATTTGGGGATACAGGCGATTTTTTTCTCTCCTCTGGGGGCGAAAACCTCAGCATGGAAGTCTCAGGGTGTAAAACAAGTTGCAGACTCAGGCCCTCAAGAAAAATAAGAGGGAATATGATTTTATGGGTGATTTATAGACCTGTTTTGTAGCCTAATCATTAATTTAATTGCTGCAGGCAGTGTTTTGCATCATTACACCTCAAAATGCGTCACGGGCGAGGCCAGTATCCATCTTGTCTCTGTGACAGTGGCAGAATTTGGGGGACGAAGGGGAAGGGGAACGTAAATCAAGCACCCAAAATGGGGGTGCGGGTGCTGACGGGCTACCCTCCCTTGTCTCCCAGCCCACAGGGGTCTTCAGCAGACTGGGTGACACCTTGGGGACCGATGGGGACAAAGCCACTGAGAGTGACGATGACTGCTCTGTTCTCCAGTACGCCGGCGTCCTAAAAAAACTCACCAAACCTCCCCGTAAGGAAAGCACTGAGCTGGGAGGCACCATCAAGGCAAAAGCCACCAGTTCAGAAGCCAAACCGGTCACTGTCACTGCCGCCATCCAGCAGCTTGGTCATAGGAACGCCACCGGTATCCGTATGGCGGCAAAACCACAACCAGCGGCATCCAAAATTGGCAGCATCAGTATTGCCGCGATGCCAGTTGAAGCCCAGGATGGCAATGTCACCAGCACAAAGGATAAAAGCGAACCCGAATTTCGGGTGACGATCAAAAGGACCTGGGGGTGCGGGAAGGTGAGCAGCACCAGCGAGACCCCCGGTGCTCAGATGGACAGCGCCGGCACTGTTAGCGTCTTTAAACGGCTGGGGAAGAAACCGGATTGATCCCACGATGCTTCTTCCCGCACGGTTTTCTGCTTGTGTGCTTCCCTCCTGATGGTCACGCGCTGTCCGCCATCCCATTTATTCACCCTCAAGAACCGGCAGAGTCTCATGCTGCCTTCCTCCTTGCTAATCCCACGGGGAAGCAACGCTAATCCCACAGGGAGACACTTAATCCCATGGGGAAAGGCTTAATTCCATAGGGAAATACTAATCCCACAGGAAAACAGGAGAGAAGAGGGGCAAAAGCCCTCCCTGCCAGATTTCCTGTCTGCCGGGCATCCCTGCCTGCCCTGGCCCACAAAGCCAGCGGGTACAAGGCCAAATCGTTCTCCATCTCCTACCAGCATCAAAACCTCTTCCCCGCTGCCCCCACCCCCCATTTTTCCCTTCTCTGCAGGTTCTTTCCTGTATTTAGGAGTTCGGACCTGGAGAACTCCATAGAGAGGGGGTTTTTTTCCCTATTTTTTCTGTTTTTTTCCTCTGGAGGGGTTTTCCCCCTATATTTAGGAACTTGCACCAAAGTGACTCCATAAATAATCATTACAGAGTGGCAGCTTGCTGCGGGGATCCTTAATTTTTAAGGATTTCAGAGCAGCCTCCAAAAAAAAAGCCCGGAAAACAAAAGCTTAAAAAAAACTCCTTGGGGGCTCAAAAAATCCCCAAATTGCCTTGTTTTAAGCGACGCCTTCAATGTGCTGCTCGCAGTTTTCAGCTCAAGCTCATCCCAGTGTGAAACCTAAAATGGACACCGTGAGGGTTTACAGAAATTATTTATTTCTCCCCAAATTTGTTTCCCCCAAAATTTATTTTCAACAGCGTCACGCGGTTGCCTTCACCCTGCACCTGTCCAGCATTGCTGCAAACCCTGAAAAGACATTTTTTCTCCCCAAAATAAAGACGGGGGGTGGAGGCAGCTGTGTGGCAAGTCAGGGCCATAACAGTGAGTCTTTTTAATAAGAAAAACTACTAATTTCTTTATTTTACCCTATTTTGGGAGGTTTTCTTTGCGCTTCGGGCGTTGTTTGGTGTGTGAAAATGAGTGGGTCTTCCCAATTTTTGGCTTTCTACATCACCCGCCAGCCCGCGGGGGAGCTTTTTGCAATAAAGCGTGGAAACAGCTCTGTTTGGTGTCAGTTGAGCCCCCCAGTCTGTGGCCAGGAACACACCCCACCACCACAACCCCCCCCAAAACCCACCTCAGGGTGCTGAGACTGGAGCAGCTCGTTGCACCCATGGGTGCGTGGTGTGCACCCAGGGGTGGGGATGCCCACGCCTTGTGGGCATCAAGCACGCATCATTCCCATGCTCCTCGGCCGTGCGTGGGTAGTCATATAGAGTAGTTATTCCACTATATTTAAATGTATGCAAATGAGCGGAAGCGGGAGGTGTTTCTACCCCCTGCGGGCGGAGTGAGCGCCGCAGGGCGGCAGGCGCATGCGCGTTGGGAGGCGGCGCAGTCCCGCCCCTCTCCCGCCCCCTGCGCG